TTTTTTTTAGATAAGTATTTTTTATTGAAGGGTAGTTGACACACAGTATTACATTAGTTTCAGGTGTACAACACAGTGATTCAACATTTATATACATGATAATTCTAGGTACCAGCTTTACCATACCAAGTTGTTACAATATTTTGACTATATTCCTTATCCTATACATTACATCCTGGTTACTTATTTATTTTACAATTGGAAGTGTGTACTTTTTTTTTGTGTGTGTGAAGGTATCTCTCATATTTATTGATCAAATGGTTGTTAACCACAATAAAATTCTGTATAGGGGGGTCAATGCTCAATGCACAATCATTAATCCATCTCAAGCCTAATTCTCGTCAGTCTCCAATCTTCTGAAGCATACGAACAAGTTCTTACATTGGAGAACAAATTCTTAGAAAGTGAATACGTTACATGGTGAACATTACAAGGGTAGTCATCACAGAAACTTTTGGTTTTGATCATGCATTATGAACTATAAACAGTCAGTCCAAATATGAATATTCATTTGATTTTTATACTTGATTTATATGTAGATACCACATTTCTCTATTATTATTATTTTCAATAAAATGCTGAAGTGGTAGGTAGATACAAGATAAAGGTAGAAAAAACACAGTTTAGTGTTGTAAGAGAGCAAATATAGATGATCAGGTGTGTGCCTGTAGACTATGTGTTAATCCAAGCTAGACAAGGGCAATAAAACATTTTGGCTGCTTTTTTTAAGCTTGGGTATTCAGCATCCAAAATGGCAAGTGTCCTTCATGTTGATATCTTTCTTTCTCTCCAACCTTCCCCTTTGTCCTTCCCCACCTTAGCCAGTGTGTCTACACTTACACAGTCATATTGGTTCTGTCTCCAGAGATTGGGTAGGTTGTAAATGGTTTGAAGATAGGGTAGGATGTTGCTCAGGATGACACCAGCCACCACAGCCTGTGGGGAAAAGCACAGCCTCATATTTCTTTCAGGGACAAAACTCCTAAATCTCCATAACCACAAAAAGTTAGCCTTGCCACTCAGAGATATTAGGCATTGATTTTTGTGAAAATTCACAATTCTATTCATTGTCTAATCAAATAAATTCTCTACATTTTTCTCTGTTCTCCTCCATAATTTGTCAAAAACACAAGATAAGATGAGGCCATGGCCAAGGACTGATTGATTTGGCCAGTAAAGTCACAACAAGCTTCTGTTAGGTTCAGGCCATTGGTTACTTACAGTACTAGTGAGCGGAAAAGTAGCCAAAGATTGCAACATCTAGTCCCTTCGGTTCCAGTGTTGTCACTTTTGATGTATGGGACAAGACCCACAAGGAGCTGACACATTTGGCTACTTGGCCTTACTTTCTCTAGTTTGGGTGAAATATCTGTGACCAACATTGCCTTGAAACCATTCTCAGGTGGGATGACAAATGAAGGGAACTTTCACTCCCAGAGATTCTAAAAGTATTCAGTTCAAGTCTAATCATGGTACACTATAATTATTTCAATAATAAGATACCATTTTTTGTCTGTCAGATTAAATTTAGAAAATTTAAAACATTGAAAACACCCCATGTATATGGTTGTTAAGTATAAAAGGGTACTGTACTTTCAGAAAATAATTCAGTGATGTATCAAGAAATGCTGATATACTGTCACAGAGTTTTATTTCACTTTTAGAAATTTATCCTAAATATGGAAAAGGGTAGATGTATATTATTACTCATTGTTATGTTATTTGTAATAATAAAAACTCATGCAACCTAATTTTCCAGTAAGAAAACTATTAAATAATTTATAGTATGGAGGAGCATGCTCTACATTAAGACAAGAACACAAAACTGTATGTCTTGATATGTATGTACTGCATGTATATAATTGTACAACTATTCAAAGTAATATCCATTCATACAAAATAACATTGGTTAGATACATGTCAAAATATTAATAGTGGTGTATTTGTGATTATGGATGACATTTTTACCTATTACGAATTCTCCAAAGTTTAAAAAATAAGCATGTTGACCCCCACAGAAATACAAAGAATTATTAGAGAATACTATGAAAACCTATATGCTAACAAGCTGGAAAACCTAGAAGAAATGGACAACTTCCTAGAAAAATACAACCTTCCAAGACTGACCAAGGAAGAAACAGAAAATCTAAACAGACCAATTACCAGCAACGAAATTGAAGCAGTAATCAAAAAACTACCCAAGAACAAAACCCCTGGACCAGATGGATTCACCACTGAATTTTATCAGAAGATATAATACCCATTCTCCTTAAAGTTTTCCAAAAAATAGAAGAGGAGCAAATACTTGCAAACTCATTCTATGAAGCCAGCATCACTCTAATACCAAAACCAGGCAAAGACCCCACAAAAAAAGAAACGTACAGGCCAATATCCCTGATGGACATAGATGCAAAAATACTCAACAAAATATTAGCAAACTGAATCCAAACATACATCAAGAGGATCATACACCATGGCCAAGTGGGATTCATCTCAGGGATGCAAGGATGGTACAATATTGAAAAATCCATCAATATCATCCACCACATCAACAAAAAGAAGGACAAAAATCACATGATCATCTCCATAGATGCTGAAAAAGCATTCGACAAAATTCAACATCCATTCATGATAAAAACTCTCAACAAAATGGGTATAGAGGGCAAGTTCCTCAACATAATAAAGGCCATATATGATAGACCCACAATCAACATCATACTGAACAGCGAGAAGCTAAAGGCTTTTCCTCTAAGATCAGGAAAAAGACAGGATGCCCACTCTCCCCACTGTTATTCAACATAGTACTGGAGGTCCTAGCCATGGCAATAAGACAAAACAAAGAAACACAAGGCTTCCAGATTGGTAAAGAAGAAGTCAAACTGTCACTATTTGCAGATGACATGATATTGTACATAAATTACTCTAAAGAATTCACTCCAAAACTACTAGAACTAATATCTGAATTCAGCAAAGTTGCAGGATACAAAATTAATACACAGAAATCTGTTGCATTCCTATACACTAATGATGAACTAGCAGAAAGAGAAATCAGGAAAACAATTCATTCACAATTGCATCAAGAAGAATAAAATACCTAGGAAAAAACCTAACCAAGGCAGTGAAAAACCTATACACTGGAAACTACAAGACACTCTTATTAAAGAGGATACTAACAAATGGAAACTCATCCCACTCTCTTGGCTAGGAAGAATTAATATTATCGAAATGGCCATCCTGCCTAAAGCAATCTATAGATTCAATGCAATCCCTATCAAAATACCAACAGCATTCTTCAACAAACTGGAACAAATACTTCAAAAATTCATATGGAATCACCTAAGACCCCGAATAGCCAAAGCAATCCTGGGAAGAAAGAATAAAGCATGGGGGGTCTTGCTACCCAACTTCAAGCTCTCCTACAAAGTCACAGTAATCAAGACAATTTGGTACTGGCACAAGAACAGACCCACAGACCAGTGGAACAGAATAGAGTCAATATATTAACCCAAGCATATATGGTCAATTAATATATGATAAAGGAGCCATGGATATGCAATGGGGAAATGACAGCCTCTTCAACAACTGGTGTTGGCAAAACTGGACAGCTACACACAAAAGAATGAGCCTGGATTACTGTTTAACCCCATACACAAAAGTAAATTCAAAATGGATCAAAGACCTGAATGTAAGTCATGAAACCATAAAACTCTTAGAAAAAAACATAGGCAAAAATCTCTTGGACATAAACATGAGTGACTTCTTCATGAACATATCTCCCCAGACAAGGGAAACAAGCAAAAATGAACAAGTGGGACTAAATCAAGCTGAAAAGTTTCTGTACAGCAAAGGACATGACCAAGAGAATGAAAAGGCATCCTACAGTATGGGAGAATATATTCATAAATGACAGATCTGACAAGGGATTGACATCCAAATTATATAAAGAGCTCACACACCTCAACAAACAAAAAACAAATAATCCAGTTAAAAAATGGGCACAGGATCTGAACAGACACTTCTCCAAAGAAGAAATTCAGATGGCCAACAGACACATGAAAAGATGCTTCACATTGCTAATCATCAGAGAAATGCACATTAAAACCACAATGAGATATCACCTCACACCACTTAGGATGGTCACCATCCAAAAGACAAACAACAACAAATGTTGATGAGGATGTAGAGACAGGGGAACCCTTCTACACTGCTGGCAGGAATGTAAAATAGTTCAGCCTCTATGGAAAGCAGTATGGAGGTTCCTCATAAAACTAAAAATAGAAATACCATTTAACCCAGGAATTCCACTCCTAGGAATTTACCCTAAGAATACAGCAGCCCAGTTTGAAAAAGACATATGCACCCCTATGTTTATCACAGCACTATTTACAATAGCCAATAAATGGAAGCAACCTAAGTGTCCATCAGTAGATGAATGGATAAAGAAGATGTGGTACATATACAAAGTGGAATATTATTCAGCCATAAGAAGAAAACAAATCCTACCATTTGCAACAACATGGATGGAGCTAGAGGGTATTATGCTCAGTGAAATAAGCCAGGTGGAAAAAGAAAAGTACCAAATGATTTCACTCATCTGTGGAATGTAAGGACAAAGAAAAAAACTGAAGGAACAAAATGGTAGCAGACTCACAGAATCCAAGAATAGACTAACAGTTACCAAAGGGAAAGGGACTGGGGAGGATGGGTGGGAAGGGAGGGATAAGGGGGAAACAAAAGGGGGGCATTACGATTAGCAGACATAATGTGGGGGGTGAGGCATGGGGAGGGCTGTACAATGCAGAGAAGACAAGTAGTGATTCTATAGCATGTTACTATGCTGATGGACAGTGACTAATGGTGTATGTTGGGGGGACTTGGTGAAGGGGAGAGTCTAGTAAACATAATGTTCCTCATGTAATTGTAGATTGATGATACCAAAAAAAAAGCATGTCTACTTTTCTAGTGGAAAGTTTTTTAAATATGAGAAAATGAAGATCTATGTTCATAGGAATGTAGAAATCATCAGGGCCTCAAAGTGGAATCTAACCTACTTTTAGAACATTTTTTGAGTTTGTGAAATCTTTGCACTGGTTTTTCATTTCTCAGCCTTTTCCAAGCCATCCTCTCCTCTACATGCTCTGCCTGGGAATTAGAATTGATCCTCCCACCAGGAATGCCTGGGACCAAGCTTAAGCTGGTTTTCTGAAGTTTTTAGTGACCAGGTGGCCTCAAAAGGTGAGTAGAGGATGGCAGAGCAGAGATGAAACCTGCAGAAATTACTTCCTTTCCACCTTCATCTTCTTCCCAGTTAAGCATCTCCAAACTTTCTGTAATTTGCAGGGAGATGTGGTGAGAGGGAAAAGAAACAACTTCATAGGGTTTTTGCACGATTTTTGGCTTGAGGCAGGGAGTGTGAAGAGGGAACAGATTTTTTTTTTCAGAAAACTACAACAAAATTTTTACCTGTCTGAATGTTAAGGTAAAACATGCTTATGTAAAGAGGAATTAAAATACACAATTTCCATCATCCAAGAGATAACCGCTGTTAACATTTTGGTATGCTTTCTATACATTTTCACACAAAATTAGAACAATATTGAATAGACTATTTTGTATCTCGTTTTTTAAAAAATAATAATAGTCCCCTTAACCAGTTGAGATCCTCGCTAGAATGTTCTGATAAGGATTGTGCAACAAGCTATCCATTGTATGTCGAGGAAGGACGGGGCCATTCATAGTTTAATGTTCCTACAGCCTCATTGTTACAGTGATTCATATCGTTCATTGATCAGATTGCATTCACATTTTCTCACCCAGAAACACCCTAATTAGATACTGTAAAAATGATGTGACCTGACATGGTTAGCCAAAAGCAAGAGCTATTTTGTCACCCACATTATTTGTAATAATGGAGTGCTACCTACTTTTATCACTAC